AAAAACTCATCTGCTTAAAGCATGTATATTATCTCTCGAGGTTGGAATTATAGCTCTGCTTTTCTAATTATATAAATCATTGATCACCCAGAAATGAGGGGAAAACATGTAAAATCGATCAGCTCTTTCTGGTTACCTTCAAAACATAGCGATTTGTTTTGTTTTGCGGAAGCAATCTAGATAACAAGTGAAGTATGGTTTTTAAAAAATTGATGAACCCTTTTTCCACAATATTTCCCATGAAGTTATTCACTATTTACAGCATTTATTTTCTTGACTTTAAAGGAAAGGATTATTTATATTAAATTCATAAAATAAATAGACACACATCCCTATATCAAGAATCATAGATAGAGATTGTCATCTACCACAACCAATGAAGAATGATAGTAAAACCACCAAAGTAAGCCATAAAAAACAGCAATTTGAACGTGTTGATCGGCTGGAATTTAACAAGCGCTAGAAGATAACATTCCAAAATCGATGATGGGTGGTAATTAATTTAAACATCTCTTGCTCTCGCCTGGCGAAAATTCCCTCTCTTTTTTCGAAACAATCTGCTTAATGCAAAAAACACCTTACCTTGAAATAAAATTGTAACACAGAAAAAAATTCTGGCAATAAAACAGCGGTTGTTTACAAACATTCTTTGAATACGACGAAATACAGTGTTTCATTTGAACATTTGAACCCGAGTTATGATTTTCCTTGTCAGCAAAAGTGAGTTAAAGATTGTTTTGCAAGGAAATGTAAGGGTTTTTTGGGAATATGGTCCTTATATCTGGATAGTTTTACATTTTAGCTTCCCGCCATTATCAGAAAACAGAAGCTATTTAATTTGTCCGTAGAAAAAGTATGGCATAGTAATGCTATACTGTGTAATATATTTTTAAGTATCATATATACAATCCGTTCCACAGGACTGTCAAACTCCTCATGCATATAATATCCATTTACAACTTCATGGATATCTATTTCATCACAGTATTTACATTTATTATTAAACTTCAAATTTGTAACAAAAAGTAACAAAATCAAATAATTGAATTGTATCATGTCATAAATGACAAGAAGCATGCATATAGACTGAAAGAATGCCTCCGATTTTTGACACGATGCAGTGCAACAAAAGATATTTAACGCCTGAATAGCTGTATATACACGTATTTTAATTCCTGCCACTTGACTCTAATTAATTTTAGAAATAATTAACATTAATAATTTATGAATATAGATCAAATTAAAACAAGCAAATTCAAAGAATTGTGGTCCCCCGCTTTCGGTGTCTTTGTGGGTGAGATGTTATTTTTTTTATGATATATTGTGTCTAATATGAACACCCTATCAATGTCATTATTTAGAAATTATCATTGAAGTTGATTTTTTTTTTAAATAAGGTCAATCGTGAAGGTTAAGGTCAAGGATAAGGAATCATAGCATGCTTGGAATTATCTTGTCACAGGTAATGCACATGTCATATATGAAAGCCCTATCTCTTCTCAATATAAGGAACAAGATGTGTTTGTGAAACACTGATGACCCCGAATGGCAACATAACGAAAATTAAAATTTTATTAAACGCAAATTAAATATATTATTACCCAAAGTAGGGTTTTTTTCTCACAAGAAATACGATTGTGAAATACGAAATCCCCAGCACCACCTGTTCAAAAGTTATAGTCGAGGATAAATGTTTGAAAGGTAGGTCAAACTCTGACGTGAAAGGGTCTGAATTGTTGGTTTCTTAAGAAAGGTTTTGTCACAAGAAATACATATGTGAAGGATGAAAACCCTAATTCGAACCTTTAAAACGTTATGGCCAAAGTTAAAGTTTTTAAAAAGTAGGTCAACTCCAAGGTCAAGATCAAAGGGTGAAAGTTGTTTATATCCAATGAAAGGTCTTCTCACAAGGATTACATATGTGAAGTATGAGAGCCCTAGCCCTGACAGTTCAAAAGTTATGACCAAGGTTTATGTTTTTCATAAGTACGTAACTCTCCAAGATCAAAGTCAAAAGGGTCAAAGTTGTTGGTATCCAATAAAAGGTCTTGCCACAAAGAATACATCTGTGAAATATGAAAGTCCTAGTATCTACCATTAAAATGTTGTGACCAAGGTTAAAGTTTTTAAAAAGTAGTGAAAACTCCAAGGTCAAGGTCAAAGAGTAAAAGTCCTTGGTATCCAATGAAAGGTCTTGTCACAAGGATTACATATGTGAAGTACAAAAGCCCTAGCCCTCACTGTTCAAAAGTATTGGTCAAGGTTAAAGTTTTTTTCATAAGAACATAAATGGGCAAGGTCAGGGTCAAGAGGTCAAAGTTGTTGGTATCCAATGAAAGGTCTTGCCACGAAAAATACAAATTTGAAATATAAAAGTCCTAGTATCTACCGTTATAAAGTTGTGACAAAGGTTCAAGTTTTTAAAAAGTAGTTACAACTCCAAGGTCAAAGGGTAAAAGTCCTTGGTATCCAATGAAAGGTCTTGTCACGAGGACTACAATGTGAAGTAAAAAAGCCTTAGCCCTGACCGTTCAAAAGTCATGGTCAAGGTTAAAGTTTTTCATAAGTACGTAACTCTCCAAGGTCAAGGTCAAAAGGTCAAAGTTGTTGGTATCCAATGAAAGGTCTTGTCACAAAGAATACTTATGTGAAGTATGAAAATCCTAGCACCAACTGTTCAAAAGTTATGGCCAAAGTAAAAGTTTAGAATTTTGGTGTAAAAGTGTGTCAAACTCCAAGGTCAAGGTCAAAAGGTCAAATTTGGTGGTACCCAAAGAAAGGTCTTGTCACAAGGAATAAACACGTAAAATATAAAAGTCATAGCTCCACTAAATCAAAAGTTATGGGCAAGGTTAAAGTTTTTGTGACGGACAGACTGACAGACTGACGGACAGACGAATGAGATTTAGTGTCCCCTCGCTTTCGCGAAAGTGGAGAACAAATCTTTAGAGCGCTAAGAGTGCTTATTCAATGGCCCTTTGTTTGAAAGTTTATTTGTCACAAAAACTAAGTTTAAGAATGCTTTTCGAAAGGTAAAAGTTTAGAGAATATGTTTAGCCAAAAATTTCAAATAATAGGCAAATTGTCAAGATAACAGTAAATATCTTGACGAAAAAACACTAAACAATAAAACAATACGAATGAAGGCATGATAAAAATTAAGTACCATATCTATATATGTATTTGTAAGTCCTTCAGTACGCTATACATACATGCATATAGAAGTCCATCAATTGATTTTTTGTAGCTGTTATGTAAGAGGTGCTATGTAATGGTCTGTGTCTACGATGTCTCTATCTATCCATCTCAACATGACAGCCACTACATTCCCCGTCTTGATATGATAAATGTACCTGATGACGACTGATTTGTCTGTGTATAGAGATATGAAGCCTTATATTCTCTCGGTGAAATATATGCTACGTTTTACTTGATTGTTATTCGCGCACTTTCAATTCGAGATGAGATTAAGAAAATGTGTATTTGTTCATATTCATGTATTTATTTTTATTAAAATATTATAATGTTTATTAAACACTATTATAAAGTCATCTGTACTTTTTTTAAAACCAATGTACTTCATGGAGATGCATTGTAAGCAACATGAATTGCCAACTTGATCAGATATTTTTAGAAGCTCATACTTTTTTATACGCACAAGTTTAACTATAATCGATATTCATTAATATTTTTGCTAAAATAAAATTCTATGATATAATGAATAAACTCCGTTGAGTTTTGTTTGGCTCTACAGAGTTTTCTTTTCACAGGACGCTCATGCATGTCATGCTAGAAATTGTATATATTTTGTTTTTTTTTTATTTGGTACACAAAGCAAATACAAGTTAAAGTTTTAGAACTGTTTTTTTAAATCCAATTTAAGGTCTCTTTTCTTGAGAAGGAGTAATTAGGAACTTTTTCCTGCAGGTATTTCTGCATTTGAAAAGGCTTCATATCTTCACACTCTATTTATATCGACAACTAATTACTTATTTGTAACCTGTCGAATTGGAGTTCCAGATAAATAATAAACAACTTGATGTCTTTTAAAGAAAAACCAATGAAAAGTGCTATCAAACTACAAAATACTCCCACATTTTTGAAAGGGAAATTGAGAACAGTAATGCATTCACTTTAAAGATTTAGACATTCTTTATCGTAATTATACATTATAGTTGCTAATTGTTTTATACACAGTTTGACACGATGAAGGTACAAGTTATAATTAATATAATGCATTCATTGCATTACTTGGTAAGACTTTAAAACCAATGAAAAATGTAGGCGGTAATTACACGCAATCTATGAAGTGAGGTTTCTATGACGTCACGCTAAACATCTGATATTATCGCCTAGTATAATGTGTAACTGTACCGCAAATGCTGTAATTTTTTCTAATTCATTTTTCTAGAGTCAATAGTTTTGATCAATATCATCAAGTTAACGCTATAAGAAAAAGTACATTTAAGTATGAGAGGTAAGCTAACATCGGTGATTAAAGCTCTGTTGCATCAATCTGGTAAAAAGCAAATTGTTAAGTTTGAAATTTCCAAACACTAACAATTGTATATTGATAAAAAATGGTTCAAGGACAAAAATCGCAAGGTTTAATAAAGGCTTTCTGCTTATATAATCAGACACCAAGATACGTCTCAACAAGTTTATACTAAAGTAAATTGAAGTTTTTAATGATAGAATTCAAGTAAATTGAGTATTTTTAATATGAGTTTCGAATTTCTATATTTCACGTGAAATGTGTTTTTTTTTTATTAAAAGAAAAATTAATTATTAATCCCAATATTAAGTTCACGAAGAGTTATCCTTTAGTGCAGAGTCATTAAACCTTATTTTACAACCTTTAGGACAAAGGCACAAAGTACTCTCTCCAATGCTGCTTACAAACATCTGAAGTCGCTGATGTAGGAGTATTTCTTTGTTATATCAATCAGTTACGTATATTAACATCTATCCATTTATATCAAGAATACATGAAAGGCAACTAATAAGCTAACTTGTTTTCATATCAATATATGTATTCTCTTTCAGGTAACAGTCTCTGTCGATGTTGTGACATAGGACATATGTTTAATTATCACAATTAGCCAGCATAAAAGAACTGCTTTCCACCCACAAAGGTGTTGAAAATAATTCAGTTCATTCAACGTCTTCTTCGATATCTGGCTTTGGTGTGTCCAGCATCACCTTGTCTATAGGGTATTTGATGTTGGTCACTGTGTATGCTTTAAGGTCCTCATTACTCAGATCAATGAGGTCTAGCATCTCATCCACAGACTTACTGAAGAAGAGTAAGGAAAATTGAAATCATATATATTATTTGGTAAAGTGTAATGAAAAAACATTTCAATCATATCAAAAAATAAAGGAACGGGTAGTGAATATTGGTTGATCTAGGCTTAAGGTTATCAGAAAAGGCTAAATCTGAAAAAAAATATTGTCTCAGATAAAATGATGTTTCACATTTTCAATTTCTGTAAATTTTCTTTCTTTAATCTTTTATTAAATTCCTGCATTTTGTTAAGACATTACTTTTTCCTCCAGTATGGAAAGCTGTTCATCTAGTATCTTACGTTACCACATTTAAAAAAGTAAGAATGTGTGAAATTTTTCTATTATTTTCTATAATCCTTAAATGCTGATGAAAAAATTTACTAGTATTGGCTTGTTCCTTAACATACATATTTAAATCTTTTTCGTTTGTTTGGTTGAAACTTTAACATAGCTGTTTGTTTATATAAAATAAAATTTCCAAATTCAAAAGAATAATTAAGAACATTTTTAATTTTGACCATGAAGAAATTGATATATTTGTTATCATGTTTTCTGAAAAACCTATTTTGGAAGAAAATAGCCTGCATGACATTACATTTCCAGGCTCTTCAAAGATGCATGTTTTAGGATGAAAGAAAATGGCAAAAATATTACGGTTAATATAAAGACAGACGTGCATTCAAAAGGAAGAGAGACGTAATTCGATTAGGAAAGATCACTGCACATTAACTGAGCTAAGATTTACAGTTTTCTCACACCTGTAAAATTCCTCTTGAAATGTTAAGAACAAATCTGCACAATATACACCAGTTTGCAGTAATGCATCAGTTCTCAATTCTCGGGTAGCAAAGGAAATAATGAAATTGTCACCCCTTGGTTCCAATAGAGTTCGCAGATTATCTAAAAATATAAAAATAACATTGTTATGAAATAGGGAAAAAGTTTGCGAGCTTGAAAAACTGTTCAGTTGAAATCTTTTGAAAAAATATTTGAAAAAATTACCGCCTTTGGTTTTTGTTTTGATCACTATTGGAGCGTATTTCCGTTTTCCATCAATAAGTGTAAAACACTTGATAGCATACGACGTCGATGACCATAGATTACTAAATGTGCAATGAAATTGTATGGCGGTGTCTTTTATGATCATCCCCTTTTCTCTGTTTCCATCTTCCCTTTCTAGGAAAATAAGGTACTGTAGCAACTCTGTAGAATTTTCGGGTAGAACAGCACTTTCCCAGGTCACTATTATCTCTGATGACGTCACCTGGTGCTGTAAATTATTCGGCCCTTCAAAATTAAATCGTAATGATGATCGCTTAATGTAAATTCTTAATATTATCTTTTAGCAAAACATTAAATGGAAACAATTGAAATACTAGTAGTTATGGCTGTTCAACAATTAAATATACATGTACAATGAAACTTTAAAATATTATCGTGGTAAAAATCAAAATGGAAAATATTTTACTTTAATTAATTTACGGTTGAATATTTTATATAAATACAGTCAATTCTCTCTTTCAATTTTTTTCCCGGTTTACCAAATTTTGGTGTCCTGAACGTTTTGACAGACGGGTCTCCTTTTTCTTTGTTTTTGACGGAGACCTCGTACTCAACATCCGGAAGAAGGTCCGTAAGATGTATAGAACATTCGGACGTCGTCAACCGTATAGTCTTCTTCATTATAGTGGGGTCACATTTATATTCTACAACGTATGTGTTCTCCGTTTCTCCGGATTTAAAGTTTTGCGACCAAGTTAAGATCACCTCGAATGAGGACACAAATGTGATTTCAAGATTTTCTGGATTGCCTATTAAAAGAAATGAAACATATTTAGATAACGAACAGTATTCAAAATCAAAAGTCCATAAAACAATACAAAATAGGAGCAGAGCAAACACGGACCTCCAAAACATCAGAGGTGGGATCAGGTGCCATGAATGGATAATTAATAATTGTTTAATTTATGGATTATATTTATTTCTTCAAAATTGCCTATGGCATGAAAAACAACTCTATTCCAATAAATTTCAGTTAGAGTTGCTCACCTTTGGGAAGAGTCTTCACTTTAATCTGTTGTGTGTACATCTTCCTCTGGTGGTAGATCGATACAAAGTAAGTCGTGTCACTCTCCAGGTTAACTATTTCATGAGTTTGGCGACATTCAGGCCCAAGCTTGAGGGGGACTGGCTTAAACTTTTTCTTCTTCGGATCTGAGGGTGAACAATGTGCCGTGTAGGTGGAAACCATTTCTCTGTCCTGTATATCTACCCACCATATAAGCTCACACGAGTTGCTGGTTTTTGAAGAGACAAATAGCCTCAGTGCTTTATCTTTGAAAGACAAACATCCCAAGGGTCTTAGCGATCACACAAGTATACATGTAACAGAACACAAAATGAATTCCAAACTGTCCTTGTAATTGTTATATTTGTCATCAATAAAAGAAAAAAAAAGTGAGGACATCAATTAATGATCATCTTAAATACAATGTTCAAACATCCATTTGTATTATTTAAGGACAGATGATACAAAAAAAAAAATGCCTGGATTGGTATATGTTTCTTTGTTTCATTGTAAGTGATGCAAATAATAAATTGGAAATCTAGAATAAAAAGAAATTGTAAACCTTCTATGTTGTTCTAAATTCTTCCTCTGTGAAACCATCCTTATTAATTTTTACAAATATTTTTCACTTCAAATCCCCTTTTTTTTGAAAATTTGAATAAAAAATTAAAAATAACGCGGTGAAACTTCATTTTAATCGTTAAAACATGACTCAAAGTGTTATTTTCAATTTTTTTTGACAAAAGTTTATTTGTATCATCTGTCCTTAATACCAAGAATAACAGAAAATATTTTATAAATATATGTTGTGTTTCTCTATCAGATGATATAAAGTTGTATATTAAATTAGAACCCCTGGCCCGAGGACCATGAATTTCTCAATTTTGAAGAAGCATATTTGCTTGTGTATCTACAGTTAAAGATTCTTTTCCAAGAATTGTCCTTCTTGGAAACCAAAGTGGATTGACCTCTTCGTTGCAACCTGTCGAAAATAGTCGCAATTTTTTATATTACGATTTCTGTGTATTTATAAATCTTGATTGTTTAAGATTTCATTTCATCAAAGTGTCGAATTTGATTTGTTTAAAATTATACACATTAACTTTTTATTTCCTATATATTTACGATTTTTGACCGTTCTTTATGAATTTCAATATATTGTAAGATACTTATTTGACGTCAGTTTGTAACTCAACAATAAAATATTAAGTCTAAAATGGTCAATCACTTGCGTAAATTTAATGTGATAAAACTTCCCCTTTCTTAATGCACTAAAATAAAAGTTAATTGTAGTTATTTAAAATTAGTAGTAAAAGTAGAAAGATGTTTATTTGATGTATGTTTATATTTTGAAACTATGTGGGGAGTCCGTTTGATTAATGCTGGAAAACCCTAAATGTAAAAACAAAATTCAAACTAAGTGATAAATGTATTTATCTTCAAAATATCAAAAAAATGTCGGTTAATTTACATAAATTAGTTTATTTGATTATTTGGTCACTCACCGGTTTCAATTCGAGCAATTAACGACTCATGGACTTTTTCACTGGAGGAAACTGTGAAAAAAAAAGAATTTTAAGAGCAAGTGCAGTTTGTCTTACATTTATAAACTCATAAAAGAAGCTTTTTTCATTAATCGAATTAAAGCACAAAAGATCATCTCAAGTACTAACCCTCCTTGGCTATTGGTGACACTTTTACGTAATGATAAAAAAGTTCCGGTATATAGTTGACCGGTAAACTCCGTAGGTCTTTTATAACATCAAAAGACCTTGTACGGTTATTTCTGAAAGACAAGCATTCTGAACAATGAACGATGAACTTTTCAATAAGTTCTTGTTTATCTATTGGAAATTGCCAATCCACCCAAAACACCGAATGTGATTCTGCTATTGCCGTCACTTGAGTAGGTCTCAAAACATCTAAAAGAAAACGAGACTCTGTAAATAAAACAACTTTTTCAAAAAATAACTTTGGAATTGTACTTAAAAGGTAATAAATATGAAAGCAATTCTAGAGATACTTTAATATGCTAGACTTAAGTTTACCTTCAAATTGTGGAACATGGCAACTAAGAGGGAAAAAGGTCTTGTCATATGCTTTAACAGCCACTTTAATGAGCTGCTCGGAATTGGACTGTAGACCATTTAGAATACACGAATTTTTCTTTGTTTCCATTTCTGAACGTTTGGTAAGATTAGTCTGATCTACCCAGGAAATTACGTAAGACAAATGACTAGTTTTCTTGATTCCAGGGGGATGCCAGAACATCAGTATCTCTTTTTCTGAGAGTCTCTGTGCACACAAATTTCGAACTTCTAAACTATCCGTATCTGTCAAAGAAAATTAAACAGAAAATGTTTATATTTTTTATCATAGATTTTTTATGTCTTTGTTTCCTTTAAAAAATTAATAGCAATACCTTTTATTCTCGCCTTGGTTTTAATTTTTGCATATACTGAACTTCCGTATGGCTTCCCTTCCTTTCTAAGAATCGGCGTTACATGGAATCTATAATGCGTGTTTGGTTCTAGATTTTCAAATTCTATACGAGTGTTTGGTTGGTATACTTCCATTACTTTATTTGAGCCTTTGAAACATTCTATGTGAAACTGGATATCACTCTCCTGGTAGCGCGGCGGTGTCCACTCAAGAACAACTTCCCTGGAGGAGTTTTCTATTATTCGTACGTCGGCACTTTTCATCGATGGCACTATATTGAAAATCTTTATGTTTTAATTATGAATAAATACTAAGTTAAAGGCATGTTTCAAAATTCAAAGTTATTTTTGAATTTCCCATCTTTTTAATTTTATTGTATAATAGAAAAGGGTAAAATTCAAATGAAAAGATTGTTTTCTATGCATTATTCCATATTTCTAGCACAGAAAACTTGGTAGTAAACAGTGATACCTTTTGAGGAGGGATATTTATGATGTCCACAAGAATAATTTTTGGCTTTTTGCAAACTTCTCCTGCATTGCTTGTAAATTTCATGAAAGGTAACCATTTCACCATCACATCCATAAAATCCATTGTAATCACCAAAAACCTATGAGGACACACGAACATTTCGAATCCGTCAAACATTTTACTTCTATCCAATGCTTTAAACCAGTCTCGCACCTTCTCTCTTGTTTGATTTTCCAATTTGACAACAGTTTTGAAACGCAAGACTTTGTCAAAGAAGTCAAAAATTTCTCCTAAATGAAATAAATGAACACATACTGATGAATCAAATCGTAAACAAAGTAGACCTGGTTTTAGATATTTAACAGATATAAAACACAAATATATAGCTTTCATGTAAATATCAAAATAAAATCCAAACATAAATATTGTTTGATTGAATTAACAAACGTGCTTATGGCTGAGTGCAACACTTATACACTCTTAATTCTATAGGAAAGTGAAAGTTGATAAATATTAGAGTATAATTGATAAACAAATAAAAAGGACATTTTCATTTAATCCGAAAAAAAACTGATGATCGATTTATCTAACATAAACAGTACTTACTTGATCTGATATTTAGCTCAGTATGCATCCCACCTTTACGGTCATTAACGATAATTGCACAGAGTTCTGAGAATATAATGAATACAAGTAAAATAGGTAAGGTTTTTAATGTATCTTGAATACAAAAAAAAAAAAATATAGGTAAATGTTCTAAGTTAAAGTGAATATACGAAATGTAGGCCATGTTTCTAAGTTACACTAGTAATTATAAATATAAGAAAATGGGTAAAGTTTTTTAGTTATCACGACTGCAAAAATATAAGTTACATTTCTCAATAACTAAAGATTCAAGTTATAATGGATCATTTGTTGTTTTTTTGTAATTATAGCGAGCGCAGCGAGGCGGCGCGAAGCGCTGCTCGCGTAGCGAGCTCAATAGACTAACGTGTACGAACGGAGGAATTCGTTCTTGAAACTGGCATTGTTCCAAGAAATTTTTATGAGTCCACGTGAAAACATCCGATTCCGAATAATCCTTTGCGGTGCATAGCAACTTGGTGGCTAAAACATAGCAACAACTTACTTGAAAAAAATACAAACAACGATTTAATGCAATCTACATGCCACAAAACTATCGTTTGTGTTCTAAGTCAACTGGACTTTTTATTTGACGTCATACTTTCGTCACTTTAACGGCTCGAGATTTCCGATTTTTTGGAAACTCGAAAGTTCGGATTCGATCCCGATGCCTGGGAAGTGATTCTTTTTATTCTTTTCTTTTTTAATGAACTGAGGAGAGGCAGTGCAAGTAAAAGTGTAAAGGTTTTGGAGAAATAACTGGCTAACGGTGCACCGTAGACTATTATAAACCTTAACGCTTACTTCTTTGAGCGTACTCGACAGGAGTGTCGCTTGGTGAATCAACAGCTGAGTGTAATTCTTCTTTGTCGTTCTCTGTGTATGGCAATTTCAAAGAAAGGATTTTTTTTATATCAGTCTCGATTTTCT